TGTCTGGTTCAACCCAGTCATAACTAAGTAATTACAGTCATATCCGGGTGCGCCGGAAACCCCCGTAATATTAAAACCAAACCGCCGAAATCCAGCTTTAATATTAGGGAGGGGGGCCCTTTAATATTAGGGGGAAGGGATTATTTATTTATTTATGCATATATATATATGTATGCCGGATAAAAGTGGTTTAAAAAGCGAGAAGAAATTTGAGTGTGGATATAGTATGTGCACTGTACACGTATTTTATCGGTGTGTAAAGATATGAAACTTGTGCTGTGGTTTTGTGTGTCGCGCACGCAATGGTGACTGGCATGCGAAAAATCCGAAACGTCGAACGTAAGAATTGTTCGTGTCAACCGGGAAATGCGATCAATCGACAATTTTACGTGGTTTTAATGTTTGCTTTTGTTTCGTCAAGATCGAATGTTGAAGTTTCGAATTTTGGAATTTTGGGAATGTTCGAACTAACTTTTGCTTTGTTCCGTTTCAACAACAAAAAAGTGAAAATTCGAGCATTCGAACTATCGAACCAACTTTTGCTATAGAAAGGCAGTGTACGTCGCGCGACGCGCAAAACTGCAGCTTAGTAAAGATGAGGTGTCCCTGTCTCTACATGTGTGTGTGTGTATAAATATATATATATATACATATATGTATATATATATATATACACATAGAAACATGTAACATATATGTGTATATGCATGTGCAAGATACAATCTGGTAATAACTGAGGGCAGCTGTGCATACACTCGCAGATTGGTGGTATGACGAGCTCTTTCGGCCACTAAATCCAACACGCGTCCGAAACCAACTCCGGTCTCTTGGGCTTCTAAGAGCTAATTCCCTGTGAGTGAACAGGTCCACAACTGATCAAACAAATAGCCCAAGCGGAAAGGACCCTTCATTGTCAGACATTCATCAACCCTGACTGTGTCGAAACCCATGGCGCAGCCTAAACCCTGCAAACCCTAGCCCTGGAAGCCCAGAAGTCCCGGGTGAAGGAGGCTTCGAAGGAAGATGAAAGCTTGGTTTCAGGTTCTGATGGCCAACCACCATAGTGCCCATCAGGTTGGTGGTAACCACCCGTGCTCGTTAGCACTTCCCACTAATGCCCTCAGAACACGAAGACCATCATGGAGCCTGGGGATTACTTAGACGGCCTAGAGGACGACGTCCCGAAAAGCCCCCGCAATCAAAGGCCAGTGGCAGTGGTGCCGATGGACATGACGATGCCCAGGGAACAAACCGCCGTGAAACAAATGCCTCATCCAAGAATTTTCAGGCATCATGCAGGGTTGGCGGGGCTTCATCCAGCCCGAACCCGAAGCAGGATGCCCCAGAGAAGTGTGCGAGACTCGCAAGGAGTTCGTGTCGGAGCATGCTGCGGTGCTTGTAAGAAGGATTCTACTCTTTTCGGGTCTGCGATTTCTACAAAATGTAGACCCCCTACTTCTCGAAGCTCACAATACCGTTCAGTGCGGTTCACGAGGCGTCAGTAGTAATCCAGGATAATCCGAAGTGAAAGCAACATCAACAGCAATAGCGAATCGGGATTATGCTTATGCAAAATGCAAACTCTAGACAGTAGAACTGCATCACCACAGCGGGAGCACGGGCCCAGTGCCCTTGGGTTGAAGCATCCTTCAGTCAAGTTTCCAAGGGCTTGGTGAGATTTTGGGGTTGGCCATGTTCTGATTCCAAGAACAGCATGAAACCACGAGTCTCACCGGCCCGCATTCGTCATAGCAGAGTACACAGCAATGAATGAACATGAGAGCAAGAAGGGTGACTTAGATTTAGCAACGACGGTAGAGCGGCCGGTGTTTGTACCTTAGGGCACCAGCTGCGCAAGAAGGAGAGAATAACAAAGGCAAAATGCCATGGGCTGAGGCAGGACGGAAGCTACCCCATCAGCAAGAAATCCCATAACCTTATTTGCTTTGCGTCTGTCCCTCCATCCCACGCGCTTACATGCTCCAGTCTGAATGCCAAACCCTGAACACTCTCATTAAGTAAAGGTGCCGGTCATGTATGGATCCCAGCCTGGGAGCTTGCAGCTGAAGGCTTTTGTACTAAGGTTGACGGGGACTTAGGGTTTGATGTTCAGCGCGCTTGAGGAGTTCAAGGCGTCGGTTTAACAATTGCGGTATCTTTTCCAATGCTGCTGTTGTTAGAGGGTTGTGGCTGTAAGTGCTCAACCGGGCGTAAGGCTTTGAAGGTCAATCGCCGTCTGAGCTGGGCTTGGATCTTTCACGTCGGCATGGACAGTCTTCCCAGCCAGATCCAGTCCGACATTCGGTGGCACCGGCATAGTGGTGGTGTTGCAAACGGAACACATACACCGACGTGGTGTTGCAGCCTGTGCCGGCATGCAAAGCCCACACACCACACCCATCTGCAGCAAATGTGCGATCTGTTTCTTCGCACGTTTCGCGCAGTTTCCGTCTTTTCCAAGGGATGCCGTCGTGCAACATCTCAGGCAGACAGAGACAGCCACACGGACGTGACTAGCCGGCAGGAGGCGTGGCACGAAAGTTCGGCAGGCCCCCATACAGCCCCGAATCCCACATTAGAAGCGATCCCACCCGGAGTGTTTTGATCTCATTTTACTGCAGAACTGGATGAGTTGTGGGGATTCGGTAACACGAGTGCTTGGTGAGGTTAGCTGACAGCTAGAGTTTCAGTTTCGGGTTTACATGGTTTACCCTGACCCACAAATCACGCCGTCAAGAGCTTGGGGTTCTAACCGGAGCATCCTGATACAGCCTTGATATTTAGCTTTACCGCTTGGGGCTTTAGGGTGTGTTTTCAGGAAAAAACATCAGCCTCGTTGGTGCTGCTTTTCGCAGGGAGGCTTGGACGCCACTTATCCAAACCAACGACGACTGCCAACTGCCTGCTAGGCTATGCTCCCGGCGTTGTACTTGTAAGATAAATAACTTGAGATGGCGACGCTACTGACATTTCTTCGAGTTGCCGTAGTAGACCTCCAACATCATAAGCGTCGAGACCTCAACGGCTGCCAACGTGAAAGGCCGCTCCTGGCATTGAGGAGCTTTGAGCCGAGGGCTTATAAGCGTCAGGGTGTCAGCCTAGGAACCAAAGTCCTCTATACATCATGTAGGAATCCTCGCGGATGCGAAATTAAATTGCTTGCATGAATTCTACGTATCCGTCTTGTTTGCGATTCATTTTTTGTGAGGTCTGCTGCTTCGGCTACAGCGGTGTCATGCTTTCTGTGTGTCCATGCGGGGCTTGCGTGTTTATGGGGTTGTACGAAGCCTTTGTCCTTCCCAACACCCTTTCGGAACTGGCCTTGCAAAGACGACGCCCAACTTCAACAAGCTTCACATCGAGTGCTGCCCAACGCAAAAAGATCTTGAACTAAACCAAGGCGGGCCGGGCCTCAAAGCCTGAACCGATGATCCAAAACCATGACGCAAGATGACCCCATATTTCACCAAGAAATCCTCCGCAAACCATGCGACTTTAGTCAGGGTTGAGGGCAGCACCAGCAACATTTGATCATTGACATATGAACCTGTGGGATCCTTCCTTGTGCCTAAGGTACCCTGATTCAAACACACAAAGACAACCATATATATATATACACATAATTATACAGCGCCAGTTAAGTCGAGTCTCGAAGGCATACCAAATCATATTCCAGACCACCCGCTCTCGCTCCGGCTCAGGCATGGCCTGCATACTATCAACACAGCACGCCTAGCTGCGTAGAAGAAAACCCTTTGGGGGCTACGAGACGAAGAAGACGATGATGACGATGAGGATGATGATGATGACGATGAGGATGATGATGATGATGATGATGAAGCTGCTGATCGTCGCCAGCATCACCATACGTTTTCCGAGTAGGGTCCAACCAAGGTGCTCCCAAACACAGCTGCAGTCCTGGAATGTCAGTCCTGGAATGTCTCTACCAACAAAAGAACCTACTCCTCGGTTGGCAGTTCTGTCGCAGTACTTTAAGCCTGAACGCAAAGATGCACAGACTGAACATAGTCCACCCTGCACCCGCAACACCGGGAATCCCAAAATCCATGCATACATGAAAGCTTCATAATTTGGTATGCTCGTTTGGGTCACAGTGAAATCTCTTCGAAAGCCTCGAGGTGAGCGTCAGAGGCCATGACCTCGGCTCAGTTCATTTATGCTTCGCGCGTGGTACACCCCCTTCCGGGTTTTGGAATGCAAGAAGTAGTCTGAGTCGATCTACAAATGATGCTGCTGAAACAAGAAGTGCCTTCCTAAGACTGCTCCACACGTAGTACAGGTTTTTGGTGTATGGTAAGCTGAGCTTTGTGTTGTAGATTCTTCGAGGGTTGGCGTCTCTAGCAAATCAGCACGGTTCACCAAGAGCCCTCATCCACAACACGCAGACACTAACGTCCCAAAGCCAAAGAGTCCATGGCCCAGCTGAGACCCAGCAAACCTGCAAAAACCGCGCAAACACTAAGCCAGCAATGTTGGGACAACTGTTCAGCCGCCATACTCATCAACTACAGCATAACACAGGAGTTGCACCTCGTCATGGTACAGGAGCCGCCGGGTACCATCAATAATGAGGTGTTTACGGCAAGTGTACAAAGGAATTTTTGCTCTCTGTGGACTGCTTTGAAAATGTGGCAGCTTCAAACTATGGCAGCCTTGATCGTGCGGTTTAAAAGCAACGTACTACAAGCAGGACACCGACAAAGGGATCCTAGCGTAAAGCCACGGCAACCCACTGCCAAAACACCATAACCAAAATCCGACCAACTCGATTTTGCAAATTCGTTGAATAAACTTCCAAAGCCGGTCACAACCAGTGAAAGCCTAAGCCCGGAAGAGCTTCTACACAAACTTCCAACTATCGGAGCATTAGTTCATTCGTGTCCGAATACTCATAAAATAGGAAGAAAAGGAGCCAGTTCGTCCGGATCGTCCTCACGGAAGAGCAAGGCTAGGGTTCAATACATTCTGAGCACCCGATGCCTTCAAGATGTCTGAGGACAAGAGTCATGTTTGCAGTTTCGAGTCTTGCGAATTGGCTTTCATGATGGGCTCATGGTTTAGGATTCAGGGCTCTCGCTTTGAGGCTTCGTGTTGCTTTGTTGCGGTGGATTGACCTGGAGGAAGATGCATTGAAGACGGATACAAGCATAACACAAGCAGTGCTTTTGCAACTTTTATCGCCGTCATGCTAGAGCAGACACGAATTAGGCCTTCAAAGATGTTGGCGGTTTGGAGGTTTGGGTTCACTGTTTCGGGACCATCACAGCCACGGTTTTCTCGTAAAGCCTCTGGACCGCCAAGCCTCGTCATCCTCCTCCAAGTTCAAAGGATAGTCAGGCATCCTGCGCCAGTGGGCTTTCCGGGTTTGTGTTTCTAGTCACCGTTATTAACCCTTTAACAATTCGAGAGCTTAGGCATGCGCCCGGACAAAGGAGCATCAACATCTTCGACCTCTTACGTCTGCATGCTTCGTCCTATGGCTTCGGTCAAACTTAAGCCCCAAGCTACGGGCCGTAAACCCGAAACCCTTGTGGCCCTGATGCCTGAATCAAGCCCAAGCCCATAAATTCTGACTATGGCTCAATTGTCTGCGAGACCTGGCAGAGCCGGCGTCAATGCGCACATCGTCATACAGGTGAGCAAAGCCAAGACAAAATAAGCCTGCAACACTCCTGAAAGCACTGTGCAGTACCCGCAAAGCTCGCAAGAGGCCTTGAAAAAACAAAAAGCCCTTGAAGCCCTGAACCCGTGAGACTTGAGCCCAAGCCCTTCAAGCCGCCGGAAAAAAAAGCCAAAAACGCGAGTTACACCCCGATGCTAAGAAGCTCTGAGTTGAGAGCCCCCGCATAATCCCCGAAGCCCGAGGAGCCAACCTGGAACCCTTCCGCCCGCCTTGCCGGCATGACGAAGGCGCCGAAGGAGGCCGAGATCAGGGAGAAGACCAGCAGGGTCCTCAGCTCGCGGGTGCGGCTTGTGGTCAGATGCAGTGGAGCTAGTTTGTGGTTGCACGGGATAGGGTCTGTAGAGCTTTGGGCTCCGGATTTAGGACCCCGGACTCGGTCTTCAGGCTTTATGATGTAATGTTCTCACGACGAGCTCTTGTCAGAACAGGGGCATGATGAGGCTTCAGAGGGGGCTTTCCGGGTCTAGGTCTAGAGTCGGTTCTTTCTTTCTTTGTGTTTTTCATTTGCGCAAAAACTGTGCTGAACGCTTGCTCTCTAGGGCGGGCCAAGCTACAAAGCATATTTTGACAGTATCCAAGGCTCGGATAACAGCTGACCGCCCTGATAGAAAGAAGCAGTCGAAGAAGGCTGGGTACTTTGAAGCAACTACGACTTTGAGTTGAGGGGTTGTATGAAGGACATGAAAGGCGTGACATGCTGGCCGGAATGAATAGTCTCAGATTCGTGGCGTGGGATGTGTCGATGGTCTCTGCACGAATCATGTTTCTACTTGGCGAGGGTCCGACCTGAGCAGGATTATCCATCCCTTTCAGGACCATTGTCGGGACGTGTTTGTTCCTGCCCTTTCCGCACTAAACCAGATTGTATGCTGGCACATGCTGACCCTCTGGTGTTTTGTGCTAGGGGAAAAGGTGCCGGCTGCCGGCTGTCTCCATCCTCTAGCTTGCAGCAGTTTCGGGCCCTGTAATTAAGGGTCAGGGCGGCTTTGGGATGATGATTCAGGGGTCAGCCTAAGCCCGCTTTAAAGAGAACGGATCAACGAAAGCCACCCGGAATCAACATGCGTGCAGGGGCTAGATGCATCTGGACCTTAGACTGCCAACAGTGAACTCCAAAGACTATGGTTGTAAACTTGTAAACGATCTTTCAAGGACGATGCGAAAACCCGATGTTGAAACATACCACGGAAACACACACCATGTACTGCCACCAGGTGGCAGGTTCACCCATCCCATCATGCTGCGTGGACAGACCTGAAGTCTACGGTCTGCGGTGCAAGCGTAAGCATTAAGCAGGGATTCGAACTCTTGAGGTCTGGAGAATCAGCAATGCCCAAGTGTAGCGCAAGCTAACACTTACAGAGTGGGCTGCTATCTTCGGTGATTGGATCCTAGAACCCGAGGCCTGACACCAAAACCTGACAGAAAGGATCAAACACGAACGCAACAAGCCTGGATCTATGCAGTCAGCAGACCCCACCAGCTTTAGGGCTTCGGGGCTGCTTGGCTTTACTTTCCATGCTTAGGGTAATCATCGGATTATGGGCCGTAATAATCGCTCGCGTGCAGCCAGGTGTCTCTGTCACCCCCACCAGTCACAGCCGTCCGCAGCACTGCAAAGAGACCGGGCCCAACTACCAGGCCAAGGTTTCGAGCGCACTGCGTCAGGATCCTAGGGTTTCGGATTCACACAGGGCTTTGAACTGCAGGGCGGAAGGGCTACAGAGTGCATGGGGTGTGGGGTGCAGGTTCTAGAACTTCGGGCGGTTAGGGTGGAAGGCTCCGGGGCCACCTTTGAGCTTTGGGTTGATGTCCAAGACTCTGCCTTCTTGTACAGCCTTGCCCCTAAGCCCGATTCTTGCCCATGCCACCCAGACATGCACAATGTGTAGAATTCCCCAAGAGTCAGGCTTTGGGGGAGGCACACCTACCCAATGTTTGAGGTCAGTGTTTATGCTTTGGGGTGATCCGGGTCTAGTGAGAACCATAAATTCCACGCACCAAAGTCCCAGCAGTTTGGGCCTTTGGGTCTGCGCCTTTGCATCCAGGAGCCTCGGTAAATTTCAAAATCCTACCCCTACCCACCCCCCGAACCTTAAGACACAGACCCGAGACAGGGCCAAAATGCTAGGACCCGGAACTCATTGAGGCAGGTGGCATCCAGAAGGTTCGATTCTTGGACTTTGTAATCTTCCTCAGTGCAACTTGCTCGCCCCTCCATCGTCCAGAGCAAATACGGCTGTTGGGCCAGAGTTGTGAGCTTAAGGGTTTGCAGGCTTGCGGCTGTGGACCGAGGCACCGGTAAGCAGCTGAGAACACCGACAGCGGCTAAGTCCGAACCCCTGACCTTCAGATGTTGGAGGGAGGGACACGCACTTTGCTTCGAGTTTTGGCCTCTAGACTTGGGAGACGAGAATTGCAGGGACGCGAGCTGTCGGAGGAGGGGAGCTCGGGGTTCAGAGTTTCAGGGAGGCGCCCACGCGCACATGCATACCAGGCTCGTCCAAAAGATGATGCCCGGGATCACGGACAGGGGGCCAATGAAAGATCCCGCGACTGTGAAGCCGATCATCACCCACCTTTTGCTAAGCGCTTGGGCCGGTGTGTCGGCAGCTTTTGTAACTCTGGGATTCGAGTTTTGGCCCGGCTGCTCTGGAATGCTAGGAGTTTTCGTCCAGGGCAACAAAGGTTCCAAAAAGGACCTCAATTCAGGACCATCTAGGACAATCCCACATGTTCATGACGTCCAAAACAGCAAGCCGCAAGCAAACAAACGAAACCATGCCAGGCAAACTCACTAGGGGGGCCGGAATACTCAGACATATTGTATTCCCTCCTTCACATAGATACTGGTCGTGAAGTACATTCACTCCCCCTCCCCCACCCACACACACACACAACGCTGAGATTGCACTACTGTAGAAGCTGACGGGTTGAAGTCAAGTCGATACGAAATATCTAATGATTATGGAGCAACCAACTGTCCTGCGCGAAAATATCAGATGTCATCCTTAAACTTGTCATCGTTAAACTTGGTAATCCAATGCAACCAACTACAGCAAGCGTTGAGAAGAGCGCGTTGCCAAAGTCTTATCCGATTCAACGCAATGGTCAGAATCACTTAGTTCGTGAGCCCTGGGCAATCCCCTGAGCGTGCCACCAGATCAGATACACCTGTTCGCTGCCTACCAGAAGCATCAAAGTCCGAGGCAGGGCTGACGGATGGGGGGACTTCTTGCTGTTTTGTTTCTGGCTTCTGCATCCTCCTGGTGACACTTCCATGGGAGTGTACAACAATCTTCAACTATCGCTGTCACGGGGCATCTTGAACGAACGGTGAGCCCGACCTAGACTCGGATCCCCTTGATAGGTCCGAAGCAGATGCTTTTACCCGCGCCTGATGTCTCGTTAATGAAGATGGCGGACGCAAAGCTAAGAGCCATCGCAATGAGAGGAATAACGATCAGCAAACGCCGCACATAAAACCTGAAGGTCAGATAGAGACATCTCTTGTTGGTCTGCGGCTTCGCTTCGAGAAGTTAACTAGGGCAGCGACAGTGGAAATTAAAGCTGAGTTACCAGAACTGACGCGGGTCTTGAGGTTCAGGTTCGAATCTTCAGAAACTCGTGGTTTTGTACCGGAAACCAGGAGGCGGAAATCCATGGCATGAAGTTTGAAATCAGCTAAGCTGCTTGACGAAATCCGAACTGGTTCACTGAAACGCTCAAGCGCTACCCCAAAACCACAAGCCCTGTACACGGCCCTGTACGCCCGACACAAGGCCAAACCTCCTGCCCTGCATCCTACAGCCCTACACCGACACCCTTCACCCTGATCATGTTGACTTGATCAAGACACCCTTTTTCCCTCCGCTCAGGACACAACCCGGCTCTTCGGGGGTCCTCATATTATGGACTCAGGGGCCTGTCCTATCAGAGGCATCTACGTTATCCTGAACCCTCATAACCCTGAACCTCTCTCAGCACCCAGGAACTGATTCCAGTTCTCTTCATCCACGAGTTTTTTACCAGCCTCAGCTTCGAATGAGCCCATGTCATTTCTGCGAAACTCAGAAACACCAAGAATGACCGCTGTAGTTATCTCATACTATGTGAAATTGTGAAATCATATGTTCATTCCCATTGCTGAGTCTAGCTTGCCTGGGCACGGGCTTCACGGAACACCATGTTTTAGGGATTATAACTTTGGGCGAATGCAGACTGCCGAGTCGAGGCATAAGGGTCTGGGGTCTCTCCATCTTTTCTGCTTCTGCTGGCAATAATGATGAGAGTATCGGTAACGATAATGCCGATGATGATGTTGATGCTGATGATGATGTTGGTGAACATCATCGCCGTCATCATGATGCATTATGTTGTCAAGACTGCAGATGCAGATGATGGTGGCAGCGACAATGAAGGTGGTGCCTGTGCTTGCATCGGTGAAGGTGGACGCGACGGTCATGAGACGAGGAACACGGTGCGGATGTCAATGGGATGAGGACTGTGTGAGGATAGTGTCGGATAGTAAGAAATGGGTGCGGATGACAGTACTACGGGCTTTTTCACGCTATGGCCCGCTTTAGGGAGAGAATCTGTGTTGTTTCAATAACCGGGTCCAACAAGTTTAGAGTTCTGCCATAAGATATTTGGGAGAACAACATCAACAGAAGCTAGGGAATTCTCGCGCCAGTCATCTGAGGCAACCACTGCCATAGCACACCTTGGAGGGATGTGGAAGGACAACATCTGGTTCTGTCGTGCTGTTTTTATGTGGTAGGAGTGGTTGAGTCGGAACCAGAGATCTTGAGGCTGATCGGATCTTCACAAAAGCGCGTGTCCTGAAACGCCTTCAGCCTGAGCCGATGAGATTCCCCTTCCCGGATCTCTGTACAGTCCGGTGGCTTTAGAAACGCAGAAGAAAGTCTGCTCCAAGCTGCAATCCAGTGATCACCCCGCAGCTGAGAAAGAAGCCCGAGGATGTCGCTCCTGCATTTTGCATGAACAGCTGCGACAAATTGAGGGCCGAGGGTGTAGCTTAAGGCTTTCACCCATGTTTTCCGGATTGGAAAAAGCAGAGAAGTCTCTTCGACTGTGATTGGGAGCAGACACTTTGAGCTTCCTTCCCTCGGGTTTTGAACTGAGGGCTAGGGGCTAGGAGCTTGGGACTTGAGCTTTTCGCTCGATCCTTGACGGAGGGAGAGGGCAAAGTCCAAGGAGATGGGCACCTGCATGGACCTCAGACATAGCAGTGTTGTCTGTCTGTGTGCCTATGGGAGGCCGCGCAACATGATGACACATGAGACTATGTACCCCAGCCTAAACCTAAACGACCTAAACTCGTAGCAATCGCACCAGCTTGGCAAACAAACTGAGGTAGCGAAGCAAGGATCAGTGAAAGCAAATCACACCGCTGTGGCTAAAACACAGCCAGTACAAACGACGCGGTTGCCTGTCCCCGTCTATCAAGAACGCGATTAAGCTAAGCGAATGCGAGTGAGGACGAAAAACAGGCATCACTTTCCCGTCACCACCACCACCACCGCCGCCGCCACCAGCACCACCAGCACC